AAAAAAACTCGGCAAAAAAAAATGTTTTCTAGGACCATGCGTCCTGATGGCAGGACGCATTTTTTTACAAAAAAAAATGCGTGTGGTCCCACGCAGCGGACAAGCAAAAATAGGCTGGTCGTCAACGTGTTAAGTGGAATAGAAATGGAAAGAATGAGGAGAAGACAAAACAAGATCAGAAAGAGGAAAGAGATGAAGAATAAAAAGTTGCAGAAGCAGTGGTGCATGCAGTCCCTAAACCATGATCAGCAGCAAGAGCAGCCCTCAAACTTCTTAGTTCATCAACAGCAATTGATTGAATAGTCAAAAGCTCAATCATCAGCCAAGTTTGATAGATCCTCATTAGATTCTTCCTTGAAGCATAGTTGTCAAATCTCCATGGCGTTGTACTTCCAAATATAAAATGTACAGCTGATTTCCATATCAGCTAACCTTGAGCTCAGCTAAGTGGAAGAGAGATGTGAGCGCAGACAAGGGGATAAATGAGGAATCAGAGACCTAGTGTGATGCAGCAGGAATCGCAATAGCATCTTTTGTCTTTGCTTGTGGAAGAAAAGAAAGTTCAGAAAAAAAGGCTAAGATAACAATTTTGAAACTATGTTCTTCCAGATGGGCATCCTACCTGGGATACAGAATTGTTTTGTTCTTGTTTTGTTGTTTTGTTCATTGCATCAAAGTGTGTAAAAAAAAAAAGGACTGTAGTCCAGGGAAGGCCCTAAAAAAACACCCTAGTTAAGGGGTTAAGTGCACAGGAAGAATACTTTGAAATATAAATAAATTGCACATGCAAGATATGAAGAAGCTTAAAATTGCTAACATGTACAACTTGTTTCATAGCGTAACGGGCACAAACTTTCTTCTCTTATAAGAACCATGCCATACTAGGTTATAAATCAGTGAATATGATGCTGAGGTGACAAAAAACAAGGAGATTCATCAGTGCATGTACCTGTGACATCACCTCAACGTGAGTCATGGGAACAAAACAGGAGAATTGTGATACAATGACAGCATAAAATCAAACAGGTTTTTATCATTATATATTTACAATTTTGGTATGCACATTCATTATGCACTTATTCAGAAGAGCTCATTCACTTGCACATTCACACCAAATATTTAATCAGTGCTTCTTTTTTGAGGAGGAGAAGCCAGCAAATCCCATGACAGCTGCCATATCAGGATCAGCATCACCAAAGTCTTCATCTTGACACTCTGCCTTTCGCTTCTTCTCCCTCCTCTGCTCTCTCCTATAATGCAAAACATATTTTAATGCATTAAATCTCTTTGAAAGTGAGAGTTCTATAGAAAAATATCTAAAGAAGTCCAGTCCTTTTTTTTTTTTACACACTTTGATGCAATGAACAAAACAACAAAACAAGAACAAAACAATTCTGTATCCCAGGTAGGATGCCCATCTGGAAGAACATAGTTTCAAAATTGTTATCTTAGCCTTTTTTTCTGAACTTTCTTTTCTTCCACAAGCAAAGACAAAAGATGCTATTGCGATTCCTGCTGCATCACACTAGGTCTCTGATTCCTCATTTATCCCCTTGTCTGCGCTCACATCTCTCTTCCACTTAGCTGAGCTCAAGGTTAGCTGATATGGAAATCAGCTGTACATTTTATATTTGGAAGTACAACGCCATGGAGATTTGACAACTATGCTTCAAGGAAGAATCTAATGAGGATCTATCAAACTTGGCTGATGATTGAGCTTTTGACTATTCAATCAATTGCTGTTGATGAACTAAGAAGTTTGAGGGCTGCTCTTGCTGCTGATCATGGTTTAGGGACTGCATGCACCACTGCTTCTGCAACTTTTTATTCTTCATCTCTTTCCTCTTTCTGATCTTGTTTTGTCTTCTCCTCATTCTTTCCATTTCTATTCCACTTAACACGTTGACGACCAGCCTATTTTTGCTTGTCCGCTGCGTGGGACCACACGCATTTTTTTTTGTAAAAAAATGCGTCCTGCCATCAGGACGCATGGTCCTAGAAAACATTTTTTTTTGCCGAGTTTTTTTNTTCCTTTCTCACTTCCTTACACCATCTTTTCAGGTGCAGTAAAATCACAATCTGAAAATCAATACCTAATTCTTCCTTTTCTCTCACCCTGTTCCATTGCATCTGCTCCATCATAAAGGTTCAGATTTCCAAAAGGCCTAGCCAACACAGTGCATTTCAATCTCTTTCTCATTCTTTCTTTATGCAGACTTGTTTATCCTCTTTAGTGGGTATGACATATACAGGGTGTAACAGATGTTGCACACCATAGGCTTAAAATGTTTATTCATGATTTTCTAGATGCTTCATATTGAATTCATCCACAACTGTTCAATGAAAGCCTCCATGCCTTGCACACATCAAAACTATCTCAACATATTCGTCTTTCATTAATTTCTTAATCACATCTTCAATATAAAAAATACAATTAATTACCCTATGGTGGTATGACTTCTGTTACACCCTGTATATCTGTCATGGTGAAATGTCCCCCAAGTGGGTCTGACTTTTCTTTTACTTGTGCCATTTTTCAAGTTTTAGTTTAATATTAACTTGAAACTCAATACAGGCATAAAAAATTGAAAAAGAGTAGTAAATTTCTTACACAAACACTTATTATAACTCTCATTAACACGTTGGCGACAATGCGTCCTGATGCCAGGATGCAGATTTTTTTTCAATGAATACCCTCTGGAACTGTTGAGAACGTTCCAGAAGATTATGATTTCGTAATTACTGATAAAAATTCCAAAAAATTCAACATTTTAAAAAACTCGGCAAAAAAATGTTTTCTGGGACCATGCGTCCTGATGGCAGGACGCATTTTTTGACAAAAAAAATGCGCGTGGTCCCACGTGGCGGACAAGCAAAAATAGGCTGGTCGTCAACATGTTAAAAAAAAGTCCTGACTCTGGTGGTAGACTTCTGCTCAAGAAATTCCCCACTTAAGGGTTATCCACTATATTATGCTCATTTCAGTCACCCTAAGCTCATCAAACCTGTATTCCTTGAGCTTTTCCTCCTCTTCCCGGATTTCCTGCATGCGCTGTTCCAAGCTGTAATCTCGCTTCTTCTCCTCAACTTTCTTTTTGTTGGCTTCAAATCGCTTCTTCACCTGCATACATAAATGAAAAATTTAGAATACTAGAAATGTATAAAGGAAAGAAATGGCAATATGAAAAATGCACCTACCTGATCAAGAGAAGACCTCTCAATGCGCATGGACATCCCCAGATTCCGCTGATGCTTCTTCCCATTGATGTGATCCAGAAAGTTGATAGAGTCTTTGACCACACAATCACACACATTGCAGTAGTATCCTCCACTGTTTGACAAAGGAGTTGTCTTGGTGATAACCTGAAAATGAGCATTGGTTGCATATGATACATGTGCATTTCAGGATCCAATGCAATTATCTTGGACTAAAGTTGTACCTGAACTTATATCATACCTGAGATTTGCCAAGTTTGGAATCAAGGTCAACCTTGTAGTCTCTTTGCTTGAGAAGTTCACGTTTGACAGGAGGAGCTTTCAGTGAGTGAATGTCTCCTTCTTCCTCCTCCTGCTCTGCCCTGACTCGCTCCTTGGCAAGCTCCTCATACTCATCTATATCCCACTTTCTCCTGTGGTCACTCACACGAGCTTCATAAGCCATCTGCAACAAATATTTACTACATAATATTACTTCTCTTCACACCTTTCTTTCTTGTTGTTTGCAACATTGGGAACACTCCACTCAAAGAACCTCTAAGACATAAGTAATGCAAGCAGTTCATGAAAAAAACAAGACCTTCAACAAGAGTAACCCCAACAACAGGTCAATCATTAACATTAGTCAAGAGGAACCTGTAGAAAATTGCCTGAATGCTCCATGAAGAGATATCCAGGCTTTCAGAGGGCTCACATATCATCACTCTCTGACTCTGATATTCAGAAGTTCTCACTAAGAATTAGTTCCTCTCCTTAACCAGCCAAGATGACTAATTGATGGTTGAACAGATCCTTGGGTCATCCTTGATCACATGCCTTTTATGAACAATTCACACCTGTTGAATATCATTGAGTAGCCTTAAGCATCTGCTCCATAAGTAACAGTAAACAAATAAGCAAAATTTTCTTTCCCATTTCCCTAATTTCAAGTAAAATAGTTTTTCCAATATTTTGTTCTGAAAATCTGATTTCATTCTATGAAATGCCCCAATCATTTTCACCAGAGGAAGTAAAAAGAGACCATTTCAAAAATTTCAGAAAAATCAGAGAAAACCAGCAATCAATAATTCAGTAACTTCTCCCCTGCAGCCCCAAGATCCCATACAAGATCCCCATAAGAATTAGTATCTGCATATCAAAGAATGAAGGAGTTATAGAACAAGTCTGAAACTTCTTGACTGTCCCATATATAGGGATGGGGTAGTCAGCTGACTGGTTAACTGACCACCTTTTAATTTATTATTGACTTCTTCCATTCAGTGAATTAACCCTTTCAGACCTGGCATCCATTCCAATGGACATTGTATTTTCATTGTGTCTATGGGAATTTCTAGGGATTCTTGTGACTTAGCACCCCATATTACACTACAATGGGCAAAGTATGCATAGCTCAATTCAATCGGAGGCCTTCTTTCACCCATCAGTTTTTAAATCTTAAGTTATCTAATTAAATGCATAATATATTATATATGGTATGATATAGCAAATTTATACAAAATATAAAAATGATGTATAAAACATTACAATTTTAATTACAATAGTGAAAGAGGTAAAAAATGCAAAAAAGGATATTATTCTGATAGTGGCTTTAATTCAGGTCTAAAAGGGTTAAACATTTTTATAGAGCTCATAATTGCAGTTATTTATCCTCCACCAATAAAAGCCAGTTCCATTTAAAAGTTATATTCATGCAGCTCACCAAACATCTGGACGGTGGAACCCATTGGGTATGAAAATTTTATAGCAAATGCTCGAACTACCGTGACCTGAGTGATGTAGAGTGCATACAGGCATAGCCTGCCGTTCAAGGTCTTCCAGACTTTGAAACTTAAGATTCAAGATCTAAGTTACAGCTTTAGAACTTTAGTTTAATTATTTCATTATAGAGTATAATGAAATTCTATATAATGAACTTTTCATTTTAGTTATTTTCCTTGAAATAAAATTTTTAGCATGTCCCTTTGAGCTTGTTATATTGAGTGCCAAGTATTTTTGAGTGAGCAGGAAGAATTCAGTCTGTTTCACAGTATATGCTATACATCAGCAGGGTTATGTCCTCTCTCCTGTTTCTTATGAATATGGACAAGATCTGTAAACAGTCAGGGGCTTGTGTGAATCAACATGAATGGTAATGAAGTAAAGATCCTTCTCTTCGCTGACCATGCCCAACTTTTGGCAAAATCTTGACAGGAGTCTCAGAGTGGACTAGATTAGTTCAATTTTGAATGTACTATGGTAGGAATGAAAGTCTGTGTTCCCAAAACCCAGGTTATAGTAATCTAATGAAGTCTTGTACAGCCAGTTTGCAGAATTTAAGAAGAGCATTGCCAAGAATGAAATTTCCAAGAGAAATCACAAGGAAAAGAGCTTATTTGTTCCCTTGATTTGTTACTACATACATGCTTAATAGGGTGGTCCAAAAAAAAGCACATTTTTTTACTTGGAATTTTTCATAGTCTTAACCCCTCATCTTTGTACACTTTCAAATAGAAACTTCTGTACAAAAGATCAGCTCACAATTGGAGCATATTTAAAGGTTGCTCAAAGGGCATTCCGTTTTTGCCATTATCAGAGGTGAGCAGCATTTAAAATACATATTTTAATATATTTCAGGTATTTTGTATTTTATATTTGAAATACAGTCCCCTGCAAAAAAATGTATTTTGAAATACATTTGACAAAATATAAATTACTTTTTATTTGATTTGGTGCAACTTCAAACATGGCTACCTCAGGTGTGCCTTCTTTATTGGAAGGGAAGTTCATCAGTCTTGTTGAAAGAAAGGGGCAGGTCAAGGCCAAATGTGCTGCATGCTCTACAGAGAAAGTGATTTGTGGAACTCTAGCTATGACATCAAACTTCTTCAAACAATTTGAAGGTTGATTGTGCTGCAATATCTTGGTGTGAATATGTTGACCTAACCAATCCTTTGGTCAAAGCAAGGTTTTTGACATGTGATATATTGACCATCTTTAGACCTAGGCTTTGTGCAAGCCCAAATCTTGCCAATGTAGGTTAATATTTCTGTTATTTGCTTTCAGAGAGTACATCCAGATCTTTTTGAGGATTAAAAATGGTATAAAGGTGAGCAGTCTGGGATTCAGAAAGAAAAACAGAAATAATGCCAGGCTAAGCCTATGTGCTGTGGAGGCCAACGGTCAGAACTTCTGAAGGATTGCTGATTGTGGACAAAATCTGAAAAGCACAATGTAAACTTTAAAATTTTTATATTTTGTGTTTTCAACTGTATTTTATATTTTGTATTTACAATACATTTTTTCACAGGCATTTGTATTTTGTATGGAAATACTGAATCACTTGTATTTTGCCTGATCTTTGGCCATTATAGCCCTGATGGCATGGCATGGCAACCATATTCCTCTCACATTTTGTATTAGGTCCTAATTGAGGGGGTTCACAGGTGCCAATTCACACTTCTGATCTAGAGTTGATTTTTGCTTGTTTTTAAATCCTTTTGATGCTGCTAAACAACTGAGAGAGCATAATGTTTCTGTTCTTCATATTTGATGATTTGGTCATAGTCAAGGATCAACTTCACTGCCCATTTAGCATAATCATAGACAACCCTTCAGTCTGCTCAATTCACATGTTTTTAATTGACCAGTCCAATTGCCTATCCCTAGGCAGGAGTATCTGGATTCTCTTCACAAATAATTTATTGTATAATACTGGCTTACCATCACCACCATCCTTACTTTCATCACTATCATCAGATACAATGAATTTGCTGTCTTAATCATCAATAACTTTGTCTTCAGAAACACTGGCATCCAATATTTTTCACTTTACAGTGCTTATCGAATGAATTCACCCCCCCTGCAGTGGGTGGTGGCGCTGCTGGCTGTGAGAAGAGAGTGACATCTGTTTTTCATCCCATAAACAGCTAAACTAATCACATTTGCGATCCCAGTAAGGTACCCAACTACCATAGACCAGAATGATACCTTGAAGGAG